GCTGTGAATACGACCACAATGATGGCAGAAAGCGGCAATTCAAATGGTCAGTACGGCAATATTAAAATATGGACCAATATAATTGCTCTTCTTTTGACTAATAAGTAACGCTGATGGTCTCTTTGATTTTTCTGACTATCTTTGTGCATAAACGTCTAAGTAGATCCCATTCCATTTTGAAATGAGGACAGATTTATTGAGAAATGGTAACTACCTATGACCGGCAGACTGGAATAGAAATGAGTGTTATGTTAACGTTTACTAATAGTCCCGTGTTATAATCCGATATGACCAATAGGTATAGAGTCCATTGAGTTAGTTATACTAACATCGAATGATATTTAGATGGATACTTAATAACTGTTATTAATAGCCACCCAGTCAGTGACCTATATCTTTTGAAAACTCGTTTTAATGCGGTTTTAGCGTTTCTATATCAAATAAGTGAGTGAAAAACGCGTTTTTAACGCAAATTTTCACTGTGTGTCACGTTTTGTGTTGTACACTTGTAGAAAGTTGCGTTTCGAGTTTGAATAACTTTAATTTCTGTTAAAGATTTGTTTTCACCCTCATCGAGTACTAAACGCAATAAAGTCGTTATGTTCTTGTAGGAATTGCGATTTTCGTTTTCGAAGAAAGTACAATACACTGATTTTTGCGTTTGAATGAAGTTACATTCGTTTCTGTCGGTTTTTTGAGACGCGTCTCGCAAATCTTGTAATTCATATATATTTTCAGTCGAAAATAGGTGCTTATTTCGGTTTAGAAATATTTTCAAGAGTTTCTCAGACTGCCATTGGATTCCTCACAAACAGTTACTTCGAGAAACCTAGCCTTTAAATATATCAGATATACTATGGGGACTCTATTATTGTTTAACAGATCTTCTGTATGTTGCATCTGAAATTTTTTGTTTTGAGAAACGAGAATATTTATTACTATTAAAAAGAAGAGCGATTAAGATATATCTAAACTCTGATTTATTTGACCTGTTCAATCTAAAACAACATTACGCAAATTACAAATTGTACATTTTTAACAATCTTTAGTTAGACGATTGTTAAAAAAAGGCCTCTGCACCAGAGTGGGCAAGCAAGGGAGAAAAATCTCACTTCATGCACTTATGACTGAAGTGTCACTCTAAAAGCGTGAGACAATTTTAGAGCAAACGTAGTATTAGTTTATATTTTGTGCTTTTTTTCTGACTGTTTTTCTCTTCTCTGCAGAAAATCGCGATCCGAACTTTGGACCTTGTTGTAAGATGAATCAGACTTTGGTTAAAAGCCAAACACTCGAACATACCTAGTAGAAATGTTGGCATTGACGTTATCTTTGTTGTCTTTTCTTGTGCACTTGAATTTTAACTGTATGAAATTTTATTGAGAAACAACGAAAACTATCTACATATAGAGATATATTTGAGCATAAATGTTTAATAAAAGAACACTTAGCGTATTGTACAATCTGACAACATATGAGCAGATCAAAATTTTTACAAATGAACATTTTTTTTTTTGATTGATAGATAGCAAAAGTATTGCTAAGCAATTGTATTTTCGACAACAGAGCAATGAAACAACTAAAAAAAAGCACACCCAACAAAGTAAGTATATAGTATAATTAAAAACACATTTATGTATACATATATAGAACAATATGGCTAATCGACAGAATAAGTTTTATTCTAGTATAGTTAACATCTAAACAAAGGAGATAGAAAGAGATGATTATAATATGTTTAAAAAGACTAAATAAAAATGTTAATAGTAGAATATGGCACAAAATTGAAGTGAAATTAGTGTATTATAGTTGCTGATTGGTCATGTTGATATTTAGACAGGAAATTTAGATCATTTGTTAGCAGATAGGCTGTGTTTATTTTACCTGAACACGTTTCAGTCTATTTACCCATAAATGATCTGTATCTCCTGTCAAACACCAACATGCCGATTGTTTGTGTATATATCTAGTTTTTCCATTAAGTTGAATTTGAAAGAAAGATTTTTTATTTTCATTATTTAGCTGATCTACAATACGTATGCCTGAAAAGTCATTTATTTCATTTACTGTATTTATCTTATCTGCCGTGTGGGTATTAACTGTTATATTATTATTATCATTTGATTGTATATTTACTGTATTTTTCGTTAAAATATGATTTGATAAGCGACGCTTAGTATATTTAGATAATGTTTGAATACTATATGAATTATTGGTTTTTTAAGGTTTTCTAAAACGTTGTGGAGAGCTCTGGTTGGTTGCAAGTTGACGAAAACGCATGTGGCTAGAGGGTAATAGAGCCGGATTCTGATATTTTACTTTTCAAATTAATGGTCAGCATCAAAAATCCAAATTCGAAAAAGTCTCATTAACTTTGGTAAAGATGTTTTTCTAATCACAAATGTAGCTCAAATATCAAAAATCGAGCTCTATCAGTTTCTAGCCACATGCGTCAGCTTCAATTTAAGACCTTCCCGAGCTCTCTGCGAAGTTTCGTTACCAAGAAATCTGGGGACTACGAAATGGTGTTAAGGTGAGAGCCACTTTCGAGATATGGTGGCGCCAGTATCTGATGCAAGTTTTAGGGCTTCCCGCAAAACTCTCATAACTCCTGGTCAGAATATCATTCAGAACTGGGAGATATCTCGTTCTGATCAGAAATGTTTGCTCTATTTTCTGGTATTGTTGAAAGTAGTTTTCGATTTGCTTTTTAATCGGAAAGTAAAACTTTTTCGAAAAGCCTGCTTTTCAAGGTTTTCAGGAACTTTTAAAACCTCTATACCCCTCCGGTGAGGACCAAATAACATTGGATCCTGATAGTAGATACTGTGGGCTATCCGCTGATTTCTTGTTCATCAGATGATGAAATTTTTGTTACGCATAGTATGACAGAAGAAAATGTTTTCTTCACAATGAAACGTTTTAGTGAATTTTCCGATGAGTTTTCGCGGCAATATAAGCATCGCGCCAAATGCTCTGAAAAAAGCAACCTATGTACAAAATACGGTTTTACTCGAAAGCTACTTTTTTACTACCGGGCTTCACTGTGCTACGTTACGACCGCCGTTTTCATCCGATCGAGTTACGAATTTTACCAGAGGTACTCAAGACACTATTGCAGAGGTATTTTTCTGGAATTTTATTTTAGACGTTTTTTACCGAGTTATAGGGCCTCTAAAATTGAAAAACTTGGTTTCTGAGACGTTTTTCAGTATTTTTCTATAACTCGGTAAAGAAAGGTGTAAAAAAGAATTCCAAAATTATACCTCTGCGCTATGACCTTGAGTACCTCTGGTAAAATTTTTAACTCGACCGGAGGAAATCTAATGAGGGTCGTAATGTGGCACAATGAAAAACCAAGTTTTCTGGAAAACTGCTGAACGACAATAGTTAGAAACTTGAAACAAAATAGAAAAAGTGCTCCATTGAGTTTCCAACCAGTCCTGAAAATATGAGTGACTTTTAGTTTTTATTTCACAGCATTTCTACGGAAACCCCAAAATGAGGGGATGGATACCTTTAAATCCTAGCGCTTTCATTGAATCCCCTTCTATTGATCTACTTGAATATTATTATACAAATCGATAAAAGAAATTTTCGACCAAAACGAGAATCAGCTTTAATTGGAAGGTGCGTGACAAAAACTGCTACGGGAAAAGTTGATCAAGTATTGTTAATAATAGATCCAGTTGTTGTAGGTTCCCAAGCAAATCCATTCACCAACCTGGTGACTATCTCTTGCGAAGTTCAATGCATTAAGCAAGATTTTTATCACACAAAATTATTTAATGAAAGCTTCGACGAAGAACATGGATCGAGTGGAAGCGAGAGTTATGATTTCAACGTTTTCCTTGTTATTTGTTTTTCTTTATTTTAAACTTCTTTGAGAACATTAAAATAAAAACTTTTACGGTAAAAATTTTCATTGCTTAAATGTAGCGTTCTTTCCCGACAAGACTTTAAAAGAGAACGCAATTAGGTCGAAAAGAGAACGTTTCCGATTTTTTCGAGAACGCCGTGTTCTTTATGTAGAAAAAAGTACGCATGAATGGCTAACACAGAATAAGAGGTTAACACTTATAGAATGACCAGAGACCATGAGTATTGATGTCTAGGCATTATAGCCATGGGGGAAACAGCAGACTCCATGACTCCACTTGACTCCTAACGGCATTCGGAGTCAGAGAGTCTATTCATTTTCCAAAAACGGAACGCTAGTGCTCAGGCCATTTGAGCATAGTTTCCTAAAACAGGACACTTTTGTCCCGGAAATCGGATGAATTTTCTCAAAATGCAACATTTTTGTTCGGATGTGTGAGAAATTTGTCCCATATTTAGAACAAGTGTCCTGTTTGGGAAAACAAATCTGAAAAGGGCTGAGCAGTAATGTTTTGTTATTGAGAAATTTTTCGCAAGACGGAAGATCTAACATTCCGTTTCTGGGAAATAAATGGTTTGAGCCGCAGAAGTATTAGGTCTTCGAAAAACTCCAGTGCATCCCATACAACTTCAACCGGTTCCATAAGACTAGAGACTGATGGAGTCTGCTGTTTTCCTCTTGAGATGACTTCACTTGACTTCATGTGACTCCACGTGATTCCATGTGACTCCAAGGGTCTGGAGTCCGCTGTTTCCCCTTGATTATAGCACTAAAAAAACTTTATAGTTACAGCTTTTATAAATACACATTCAAGTGTATCTTTTCTTCTGTGACTTGTAGACTTCAATCTTAAAAATAAGAAGAAGAGTGTGATGTTTTGGTCAGAGTTTCTCAAATACTGATTTATTGAAGGAATACATTACAAACAAATGTCTTTCACACTTTCGCTCGCAACAAGCAACAAATGGCTTAAAGTTAACGTACTGTTGTTCATCAAAAAACAGAGGCAGTTATATCTAATCAATATACGGAAAATTCTACAAATAGTTCTCGACAACCAAAAGCGATGAAATTTACGGGAAAAAACAACCTGACTAGCACATCGACTAGTTATGTCACAACTGGTGATCAATCACAAACATACATTGAACAAAAAGTTAAAAATGTGATTAAATCAACAAAAGAAATAACACATGAACTTGATTTGATATGTGAAGATGAACCACTAACCGAAGCTCAATTACAATTACATGTAAAACATATCCTGAGTGCAATTTTCAAGTTCAAGCAACAACCAATGATTTGAAGCAAATTTTCGGCAGTACATTAAAACAAGATAATCATGAGGTTAAAATATTTGTTATTCTGTTGTTGTTTAAAAGCAAAAGTTGATTTGATTGAACGTTCGGGTATTAACATAAATACCTGGTCATTCAACAAGTGTTTTTAACACTTGTGGTTAAAACTACTTATTCCGTGTTGGCCCTTCATACGTTATCTTGAAAATATTTTCTGGTTCTTTTCCTTGTTGCTGTGTAGTATGTTCGAATGTTACATCTTCCAAGTCAACTTTCTTGCCCCAGTCGCGGAACGCGATCGCTATAAGAATCGCGAAATAAGACGGGATTTTTATGATCGCGGGTTTGTCATGCTCGGAGAGTAATCATACGACATTCCCGACTGTTATAGAGTGATCGCGATTCATTCGCTATTGTCGCTTGACGATCATACAGAAATCGCAGTGTCATAGCGCGATTATATTTGAGTCGCGGAAAGATCTTATTATAGTCGCGATACTCAATTATTGTTTGTTGTTCGCTTTGTTTGGCGTTTGATCCAGTTATAACAACAAAAGGATCCACAATGCGTACTTTTATCTTATGCTTCTCTTTAGTTTAGTAGTTTTACTCTTAGGTAACGGAAAGTGGGATTAATTCGTATAATGATCGATTAAAACTTCGCTGTTTTCCCAAATTTATCGTTCGTTCAGCCGGAACACAGGCTGCGAATTGTAACAATTATCATTTGATTCTATTCTTAGCTGAACGAACGATAAATTTGGGAAACCAACGAAGTTTTAATCGATCATTATACGAATTAATCCCATTTTCCGTTACCTAAGAGTAAAACTACTAAACTAAAGAAAAGTATAAGATAAAAGTACGCACTGTGGATTCAACTGCTGTTATAACTGGATCAAACGTTATCAAGTATGTTTTTCTTTCACACAAAATTTAGAATGAGCTTCTGATATTATTAGCTCTCTGACTATTGTTGCATTATGTTTTACTCGGACTTTTCTTCGAGAACGTGATGCGTCTAACGCAAAATCGTGTTTTAAGATGATTATTAAAGCTTTAATGGAAGGGAGTGCATTGATTTGGAATGTATTAATTAGGAAGAACAGTGGCAGGAGATGTTTCAACAAATGCGCGGTGTCATAAATTCCCCTATCACTTCAGATCACATACTATTCCTCCATCTCTATTCCTCTATCTGCGCACTGGGTAGAGATAACCTACTATCAATTTTTAATTCTATTCTTCGATATATTCGTTCATTCAAACGCTGTGATTGACTTGATGTCTTCTGTATTGTTTGTTTTTATACAGTGTCACATGGGTAAAGTCTTCTTTGCTTACTCAAATTTCTCTATCTCTCTCATCATCATCTCGTATTTTTTTCCTTAACTGTTTTATTATTGTTCCATTTATGTCAAACAGATCTAGGCATACAATGATTTTATTATCGATTTGTCTGCTTTTTTTTTCTTTGTTTTTTTGCCATTGGCGTTAAATAAAGTTCGATTATAAAAAGAGACGTTCAGTGCGAGTCGTATGTCTTTGGAGTAGCCAATCGAGTAATTGCCTGTACATGTTTCCCGTGTTTGTCAACTAAATAAATAAGATGTTTATAAAAGAGATGGATCAGTGAGATTATATTTTACTGACTGGGATATCTGGGAAATGTTCATTGACCGCTTGTAAAATAATTAGGTTTTTTTTCTTTATTTGTTCTTTCCTTTTCTTTTGTTTGCTTCTTTCTAATCGTTCTTCCACTTTCTTTTTATTAAGAATCTGATCCAAATCCCTAAAATAAATATTTTATATGTGAACAAATAAAAGAAAGAAGACAATGCTGTTGTATTTTGAACTACACTCACTTGTACGTAAAGCTTTGATTGTATGTATTGATAATAGTCTTGTTATATCGTGAAGTTCATGATTCTGTAGCTGCATTCCAGTTTTCTTAAAACGATAAACAAATCGTAGAACTACATACAATTTATGTTAATACTTATCCCGATGCGAATGAATCAACAAAACAAACTCCTGGTTTCATTACCGTAATGCTTTTTGATAGATTTTCATTTTCAATTCGAAAATGTGCTTGTTTATCCACAGTACGAAAATATTCCAGTGTACGCCATTTTTGAGTGTAGATATGTTTGATCATTTTTTGAAGAGGTTCGGATTTAGGCGCTAAATAAACAGTCATAAACACCAACAACAGATAGAAAACACATACACTTTATCATGTGGCGCCCCATAATAGTCATGTGTTTGAAGCTCACACTCATATTTTAGTAAGAAAGGTCGCCCCATTGCTATGTTTTCTGCCAATCGAACAGTTTGACAAAATACATTCAGACCCTAGATGGAAAGATTATCACCGTTCCTACATCAAATGTGTTCTATGTCTATTTACCGATAAATCTAACATAGACAGCGCACTCTTTTTTGCGTCGTTAATCGCTCTAACAATGTCATGTATACCATGCGATGTTAATGGATTAAAACCAATCTATGTGTGTACAAGAGAAAGAAAGAGATACTAGACATCATCATTCATTTAAATCATTTACGAGCAATGATTCCAGTGCAGTGTTTCCAGCTATTCCTTGAGCAATTACTTTCGCCGCTTTCAAGTCAGTATTATTGTGACTAATATTTAAATATGTCAATGTTTCATTTATTTTAAAAATTCGACGTAGAGCAAGCGAGCCATCGTAACCGAGTCCATTCCAAGATAAATCAAGATCTTTGATACCAGTATTAACCTTTAAAAGAGGACAGAATGTGACAAAAAATTTAGATAAAAGCTTCTGACTTACTTCAAATGCTCGTAATAGTGCAACAGCTCCTCGGCCTCTAATTTGATTCCAACTTAAATTTAACTTGATAAGACTATAGTTGTTAGCTAAACATGTTGAAGACATTTTTAGTATACCACATTCTGACTGAGTGAAGTTCATACTTAATGATGTTCCCATAAATATGGCCGATTTCGCCTCTAATTTATTTCTACTTAAATTGAGTGTAGAGAGCGTTTTATGCTAAAAGAAACGATAAACAATGATAAATGATAAAATAATGATTTTTATGTCTTGAATTCATTACGCGACAAATCATTTCAAGATACTGTCCAAATTGATCGATGATACCACAACCTAGCGTGTTTAATAGATATAAATTATATATCCTATCATTCTCTTTACTTCTATCTACCTGACAAGGATAAATGAGTTAATGATGGTAAATATTGTATACTATTTGTTATAGCTATTAGTCCATCTTTTCCAATTATATTATTTGACATATCAAGTAAAATTAGATGCATACATTTTTGCAATGTGATACATAAAACTATTGTTGATCGTGATGTTAAACCAACTGATTGAAGAGTAATACTTTTTAGGTTTATATTTGCATATTAAACATGTATAATTGCATACTTTTCTATTATATTTTGTAGGTGTCTTCACTTTACTTCAATAGTACTGAAAAATGCTCGAAAATCATTAAAACAAAATGTTCGAGCTGTAATTGTTATGTTATCGTATTGAAGAAGATCACACATTTGTCGATCACTACTAACATCTAACATTTTACATGAGTATTCATATTTTCTTAGGTTGTCTGTAAAAAAATCAAACGTTTATAATTCTTTTACTGAGTTTACATTCTTCTCCAGTATATTACCGTTTTGTTTTAGAGTTTTGTTTCTTAATAAAACCGGTAAAGCAGCGTCATTGTTGTCGTCAGATTTCTCACAGACAAATGGTATGGTTTGTTGACCAGATGTTTGATCTACGCGATTGTAATGATGTGCGGCTAGCTTTTGATCAATGATCACCTAGGTATTGCATATCTATCGACTATTTCTAAAATACTACTGTATAAACTTAAACTTTTTCATTGCTCTGTGGCTTTTTCAGTTGCAAACCTATACCTGTTTCCAAATCTTCCAAATTGGTATCGATACTGGTTATACTTAAACAATCTTGATCATTCTGTTCTTCTCCTTCCTCATTATACATATTTAGTCCTATTTCCGAAAACATAATCGTAAAAAATTTATGTTCGCTTGCCAGAAAGATGGCTAAAAGACTGTCGTGGCCATCTATTCATGTTATATTTTGCTTTTCACTAAAAATCGTTTAACTTAAAAAAAAATTTCAAAGTCTCGAGTTGAAAATTATGTTGAAACTGATCACATAATTTTAAGTTTCAACGAACGACTATGAGCACCTGGACACCAATGTTTGCTAATTAAAAAAGTGATGAGCAGATTTTCGTAGAGAACGCCGCCTGGTGCTATTTTCACTGAGCACTTGGAGTTCTAGAAAACTATGATGCTTCCACTACCGAAGCACAGAAAACATCATATTTAGAAACCGCCTTATACACGCACACACATTTCGATAAACTCATTTGTGTAAAAATGCATGCTTGTTTGATTTTAGAATTAAATTTTAAAACTCTATATTTCACTACTGTCTAATTTTACAATATTTCGCTCCAGAGAAAAGATAAATTTGTTTTTAAGGCCGCAGCCCATAGCGTATTTTCCCATAGGTATATAGCCCAAACTGTCCTCTGCAGAATGGGAACTAAGCGGACTCTTGATTTTCCCTGGTTCAAGTGTGGCATCGCAGTTCTTGAGAGTTCCAGGAACAACATTTCTTTAAGTGTGATAGTTCCGAAAACGAATGGAAACATAACTAATCAATCATGCTGAATCTCGTACCAACATTTATTTCTCAAATAAATTCCAAAAACCTAGTGAGAACCTGTATGAGGTGAAATAACCCATTTTTGCCTATTTCTGAGTAAAACTAAAAGATTCACAACTCAGTCAAAATCCATCCAAATTATGTCAGACTATCAGGGTGTACTCTATTTTACCTGCTCAATGCTGGGGAGTTCAATAAAAGTTATACAAACTAACGGAAAATACTTTGGATTTTAAAAAAGTTTTCTAGAAATCTTCTGAACTGCAAGGATATTTTTTACTATTCTTAAGTAAAAGATCACAATGAGTAGGTGAACTCCGATGCCACATCTGAACCGGGAAAAACGAAGAGTTCGCTTAGTTCCTATTTTGTAGAGAACACTTTGAACTGTATACCTATGTACAGCTTTTATTCAACTCAGCAGCATTGAGCAGGTAAAATAGAGTACATCTTGATAGCCTGACATAATTTGGATGGATTTTGACTGAGTTGTGAATCTTTTAGTTTTACTCAGAAATAGGCAAAAATGGGTTATTTCACCTCATACAGGTTTTCACTAGGTTTTTGGAATTTATTTGAGAAATAAATGTTGACACGAGATTCAGCATGATTGATTACTTATGTTTCCATTCGTTTTTGGAACTATCCCACCTAAGGAAATATTGATCCTGGGACTCTCGGGAACTGCGATGCCACACCTGGACCAGAGAAAAATAAGAGTTCGCTTAGTTCCCATTTTGGAGAGAACACTTTGGACTATATACCTGTGGAAAAAGACTGATAGATTGCTATCTCAATATCCGGAGTTCCAGACTGGTTTTACAAAGACCTCTTAGAAACCGATCTTCCGAATATTTTTCGAAAAAGGTTTTGCATATGAAACCATAGGCAAAGCTGTCTTCTTTCGATTGCTGAAAACCCCAGATCTGAGTTATTCAAAAAGTGCTAATTAGTGTGTCTCGTGTAGAAAGAGTGAGCGTTTTTCTCAAAATCGATTTTTGTGCTAGTGGTCAAACGTCGAGCAAATTTTTTTAAAATACAGCTCATTATAAAGAGGTGTGGTTCTTTTTATTTATTGGGGTACTCGATACTCCTTCGGATGAGAAAGAATTTTTTGATTAGGCTCTAGTTCTGTAGAAAACCGCGTCTGTCTGGAACACCTCTGATGGTATTTCAAGATTTTAGAGATTTCGACGGTCCCCAAAATTAAAGAAAGCAAGAATAAAAAAATTCCTTTCCCTCATTCGAAGGGGTAAACAGTTCTCCTTCAAATAAAACAATCCCGGGTTCTGTACCTTGAAGTATAGTGAAAACGAATTTACACGGGCAGAGGGTCCATTTTGAGCCTTGGCCTCTAGGAAACTCCGGAACGCTGAGGTATGGCAGCGAAACACAAGTTTCACAACCTTACTTTTATGTGCCCAACATTTGTGGAAAGTGTCGTGCCTTAAAGAGTGACGCTCGCTAACTTACACTAGTTAAAGCATACCGGAAATATTTGGAAAATCTGTAATAGACATTGCAAACGCTGGACAATAATATTTTTGATCATTTATAAATGTAGCGAGTATCGATGATATTAATGCAGCATTAATAACCACTATTATTTGTTTGTTAGCTTTCTCAATAGTTTTTTTCTTTTAATCAGTACGCTGGCATCCGTTTATTCGGATCCAACTCAGGAAATCCCAGCCTCGGGTGGAGTCAAGCAGGACTAACAAAACTTCTAACCGTTGCTGTTTGACTACGTAACCTTTTAATACGAATTTTGAAAGATATACTTTGTTTTTAAAGTGTAAATGAAAAAGTGAACAACGGTAACGAAACACGTGTTGATAGTAGATGAAAAAGTTAAGAAGTGACGAGAGAAAGAGCGAAAAAAAGAAGTTTAGGAGATAGTGAAAGAGAACAAAACCTGAATAAAGCGATAAGTTGGCTAATAGGAAATGTTGCGCAACACCCATGTCGCACTTTTTTTGTGATTACCGCCGGTTCGAAAAACTACCGTCGCTAAACCGTAGTACTCGGTGAAACGTGTGGATTAGCGATGGTGATGAAGTTACCGTTGAATAGACAGCAGCCATTACATATACGCAACACCAAAAATCGAAAAAACTTGATTTATTTTTAGATAAAATTGTTTTTCATTAATTTTCAGACGGGTAATAGTAAAACATGAAGACACCCACAGACACCTGCAGACACCCACAGACAGCACACAGACAGCCACAGACAGCCACAGACAGCTACACAGACATCCAAACACAGACATCCATACACAGACATCCATGGATGTCTGTGTAGCTGTCTGTGGGTGTCTGTGGGTGTCTGCGGGTGTCTTCATGTTTTACTATTACCCTTTTCAGACTCGTTGAAATTTAAATTTCGACTCGAGTCAAACTTTCTCCTACTTAAAGGAGCCATTTTGCGCTTGTAAGCGCTCCATTAAAATAAAAAATGAAAGTTCCAACCTAGTTTCGAACTCCAATTGTATGTGTTCAGAATGAAAATACCGCCCGTATTACTGATCTGTAACCGATTGGTACCGCGATGACCGTGAGATAATTTGTCGTTTAAGCGTGCCGTATACCCTTCGGTAACCAAGCCGGTAACCATCGTTATTGAAGACATGGGCATGTCCAATATACACTGGACAACACTACTGAAAGAAAGAATAAAAGAAATAAAAGTTATGATATGCTGAAGATGTCGTTTGGAGCACATCATAACATTGTTCGGTTTCTTTTCTCTTTTAAATACTACTTTTAAAAACAAATCATCTTTTCTCTAAAGTTTCGTTACAATTCTGATGACATTGTTATCCGCCTAGTTAAAACCAGCAAAGAAACTACAACCACCACTAGTAGCCGTTACACAGTGGGCATTTTTTGCCAGAGCAGGCGGACTTTAGCTTTATGAGTGAACTAAAATTTCATGAACTACTTTTCTTGTCATCTTCATCTGATTATTTTTCTAACAGTATTCGATGGATACAAATCTATATTTTGATCGTGATTAGGAATTATCTAAACTAATATATATACGTCAGTTTGAATCTTGAATCGAATGTATTCAATAAGGAAATTAGTTTTTTCACTTTTAAAAGTATACAGTGAAGAATGCCTAGCGGGAAAAAAATGAAATTTGTTCAGAAAATTAATTTCCCTCTTATTTGGTCGAAAATGCTTATGTTCAATAGAAAAGTATTCATGGAACGAAGTAGAGAATGAATACACATCAGACAGTCATCGAAAACCAGCGAATGTGATCACCATTTAAGGGAATCAATCGTTTAGTTACATGTGGAATTGCAAAGTGAAATGGGTGCTGGATTAGAAACGGAATATTGTTTTAATAACACATGTGGTCACTTATTTTAATTTGACTCCAGGGATGGGGTGTCACACGACAACGGCAAAAACTCTTGTAAAAATAAATAGTGAAATAATAAGCAAAACTAAACATAAAATTGAATTACTAAATAAAACTGAAGAAAAGGAGATAAATATCTATCTTGTGATTCTCCTTGCCAAAAGAATTCAGACATAACTACACTCCGTTTTTCACATTCTAACTTTCACTTATTATCTCATATACTGCTTGTTTTGCACTACTCGAATATTCACCAACGGTCCGGTAACTAAGATCAATCCATTAATCTAGCTAGGGCATACACTTTGATTCGACAACTAGAACCTTAAACGAGAATTTAGAAAAAGTAAATGAATGGATCAGAAACTGGCAGTTACGTCTTAACGAACGAGAATGTGAATCAAGGACTTTTAGCAGAAAACCAGTTTTTACTACAGCTAGTCTACAAATAAACGATGTAGCTTTACAAGAAGTTAAGGAACGTAAACATTTAGGTATTGTTTTAATTGCAGATTTAGATTGGAGAAAGCATTGTGATTACGTTATCAGAAAATGTAATAAATTTTTACTTTTGCCGAAAAAATTGAAATATATTTTTAACACTTCTACTTTACATCAAAGTTATAAATCCCTTTTGTATTCTACGATTCTGTGTGGGTGCGAGATTTATTCAGGCACGACTCAGGAAAATTTCATCTAAGATTGATTATATACAATATAAGGCTGCGAAGTTAGTGTCTTCGTTTGTCCTAATATTGTCATCCATATTAGGTTGCTAATGAAAAGAAGATACAATTAGTGCAAAGATTGTCACTAATACAGCTCCACAGGTTTTGAGAGACTCCATTGTTTTTGTTCAAAGCTATCCCAGGCACAAAAAAACGTAAGAAATAGCACGAAAAACGCGTTAGCGGACGATCGTTCATGGAACCGTTTAAACGCGTTTTTGTCATTCA